CGATCCAGCTGATCCTCAATCAAGTCTCCAAGGCTGCAGGAAGAGGAAACTGAGGCACTCCAGAGATCTTGAAGAAAAATTGGGAGAAGAGTCTGCAAAGAATGAAAAATGCATGCAACCTGAAACATGACAATTCAGCTTAAAGTGGTAGGAGAACTTCCAAAAGGAAATGCTAGTAAGGCCTTCTACCATTGGTGAATATGCTTTGCTATGAAGAGCCACAAAAAAAACCAGATGTGAATATCATTAGAATTACAATGATACTGAAAATCCTGGTCATGAATCAGGACATCTATGGGTGGAATAAAAAAAATCTTCCTTTTTATAACCCTGTAATCCCTTAATTCAGGGTAGAGTCGGAGTGACTAGATGCAGCTGAGCATTTACTGGCAGGATGCCCTTCCTGACACACAAGAGTTTGTAGCAAATTTGTGTATGTGTGTGTACGCTAAGAGAGAAACATCAGCCGCTACCTAGGATTGAACATTTAATCTTCCAAGTGGGAGGCAAGAGTCTTCACCATTGGGCTACCACACCGCTCATCTATGGGAAGAATATAAAAAATAAGTAATATATATCCTTACGATAGGAACTGAATTTCACTATGTAATACTACAAAAGAATGAGAATATAAAGGGATTTACACCAATCATGTGCATTGCCTCTGATGTCCAAGGACCATAAACTAAACAACAGAATGTCTAGAGGACAAATGAAAGAAAGTGACTTCTCAGTTGACCAGTCTGCTCCAAATCATGATTGATATAAATCAAAGAGGCCATTACAAGACAAATAGAGACTCAATTGTGAGAGGACAATTCTGTCACAAGGGATAAAAGAAACAAAGAAACAAGCTGGTGTAATTTGAGCACAAGGAAGAATCCAAAAAGAATTTCTTCAGCAACGGATGAATAATAATAATAATAATGATAAAGTTGGAAGGGACCTAGGAGGTCATCTAGTCCAACCTCCTGCTCAGGCAGGAAACCCTATACCATTTCGGACAAATGGCTGTCCACTTTCTTCTTAAAAACTTCCAGTGTTGGCGCATTCACCGCTTCTGGAGGCAGGTTGTTCCACTGGTTAATTGTTCTAACTGTCAGGAAGTTTCTCCTTAGTTCTAGGTTGCTTCTCTCTTTGGTTAGTTTCCACCCGTTGCTTCTTGTCCTGCCTTCAGGCGT